AACATTGAAAATTTACAAAGCCATTTTGGTGGTAGTTTGTTTGCTTTTTACCTTGGTTTAATGAGACAAGATGAGAAAACACAGGAGAGTTTTTGAGGCTGCACAAAGTCTAAATAGTATGGCAAATGAGGCAAGTAGAAATATCCTAACTGTTTCTATTTAAGAAGCAAAATCAACGGCCAATTACATAAATTATATATAAAAGGCTCTTCTGGTGTGGATTTGTTTCCATTTCCATAGGGGGAAAAATAACAAGCAAAACTTCAAGAATATTTATTCATGTTTAGACTTCATGGAAGAGAGCCTCTGGGGCAGAAACTCTCTGTGGAGGCTGCAGTCCATAAATTGAGATTTCCCCCCGCCTTTTAAAGAGAAAGCGAAATAAACACAAGCAGGGTGCAGCACAGACAGGGTGATTCTGTTTGTGTCACAGCAGTACATCCCGTGCCTGCAGACAGCACAGCTGTTGGAAGGTCTTTGTGCTCAGGAGGTTTGTGCAGCACTGTGCTGGGTAAAGTTCTCAAAACTGGAGAGCGGCACAGCTGTTGGAAGGTCTTTGTGCTCAGGAGGTTTGTGCAACACTGCTGGGTAAAGTCCTCAAAACTGGAGAGCAGCCAAAATGAGTGATGAAAAATGTGTGCTGGTGGTGAAGGCCAGCAAAAGGAGACTTCTGAGGGGTCACAGAGCTTAAGCAGCCTCCTGGCTTTCCCTGTGTGATCCAAGAGCCACCACCATGGTCCATTTTGGGCTGGTGGCAGCTCACCTGCTTGGCTTCCATGGCTGGGCTGGGGCAGGCACTGAGTGCACCAGGCATCTCCAGCAGGAAGCAGCAGCTCCTTAGCATGTGCCACAGTGGTTTAACAGAAGGAGAAGGCTGTGTCACATTTGGTGGTGCTGGAGGTTTCTGAACCTGTGTTGCAGACAAGCAGACCTTTCTGCACCCCATGCATCAGGACCTGCACTACTTCCCCTTCCGGCCTGCGTCGCGCATCGTGTGCGCCTGGACCGCCATGGAGAGCGCTCACCGGGACAACGGCTGCCTGGTCGTGCAGCCAGGGACACACAGGACAGCCCTGAAGCCCCATGGTTATCCAGAGCTGCAGGTAGAGAGCCATGGAGGGCTTGGGAAGGGCGTGCAGGAAGGGGGTGTGTTTTGGACTCACTGTAAGGGGAGGATATGCAGGTCAAAGCTGAGGTTTTCAGTGATTTTTTTTGTTCTGTTTATGCAAATATTTGTGATTTGGGAGAGGGTTTCTTGGGTGACCTCACTCCATGTGACAAGGGTAGATTTGCCTCTGTTCCCACCTTCACCTGGAAAATGTCCAGCACGTTGTGGCATGACAGTATAAACACATGCCAACATTTTCCACTGCCCTTGCCAAGTGTGGGGGCTCTGTCTCCTCCTGTCAACGTGTTCCTGCCTGGTAGCATGTGTACTGTCTCCTCCCAAAGAGGAGAAGTCTGTCAGTAAACAGCTGGATGGAATAAAATACCAAGTGGTATCTTCCTCTTCAGAGTGTGTTTTGTGGCCTGGCTGTCATTGGTGTGGTTGTAGCAGGAGCAGAAGGCTGGACTCCAGCAGTGGCATCAGGCCACCCTTGTGGGGTTTCCCAGTGCTCTTCTCTGTTCTCTCCAGCTGAGAATGTCATTGTCCAAATCCAGCTGCAGAAAATACAGAAGGTATCATTTTTTCTGGATGTCAGGCTTGAGGTAGAAGGACTAGTAGACAATAGTCAGATTTTTAGCTTGGCATATGGAATGTTCTCTCCAGGGAAAGCAGATCCATAGCTGTTCCTGCTGTGTGCTGAGAATCAGCATTTCCTCTAATTCTGAGTGATTTCAGTTCAGCCTTTTTCTTCCTTAGGGTAAGACCAACAAACTTTTCCATGGGCTACTTGAGGAGGATGAGAAGATTCCCAAGGTTCACCTTGTCATGGAGAAGGGAGACACAGTGTTCTTCCATCCCCTGCTCATTCATGGCTCTGGGATAAACAGGACATCAGGTTTTCGAAAGGTAGGGAAACTTTATCTCTTGATAAAGTTTTTTATATTCTTGATTAAAAAAAAAATTATCTAACTATCCCTCTATTTTTATCCCCCACCCCCTTTGAACCCTTTCTCAGTTCATGAATACATTGATGAATGTTTTAAAGAGTTTTTATCTTCCTAATGTACTTCAGCACTCTCTTGGTTATTTATTATTTTATTTTTAAACATCTGTCTTCTGTAAGAAGAGCATGCTGTGCAGCTGCTTGGGAAAAACAGAACAGGAGTAGGAATTAGATGTTGAATCCATGTTTAAATTAAAGCCTGTCTGGCTGTACTTGCTTTTCTGAAAGTTCCTTTCAGCTGTCCCAGATATCAGGACTTTACCTTATCTTTTTTCCCTGTCTTCTTGGTATCCTGTTATCTCTGGATAACAAGAGTCTCCATCATTCAATAAATAATATTTATTTATATGATTGCACAAGCCATTTTTCTATAAAAGATTTGTTGACATGCATGATTATTTATTATCTGAAACAGGCAGAAGTGCCCTCCTTTGGAGGCCTGGTCCCACCTCAGAAGGGATTCATCCAGGCACTGCAGCATGGGCTGCTCTGTTTTATTTTGGTTTGCCTATTGTGTGGCTTGTTCTTTCAGCCCCTGTGGCAGTTTGTTGGTGGATTTAATCTAAGTGGGTTGTGACCCTCTGGGTGCAGGAACTGAGAGCCCTTTCAGAGCACAGAGGTCTGCCCCAGCCCTGGCTCTCCCTGTTTTCCCTCCAGCTGCTGATATTCTGGGATCAAGTAGTTCAGCTTGTGCTGAGGCAGTGAGGGGGAGAAGGGAAGGAAGAAGAGAAGGAAATCAGCAGCAAGAGTGTTTCTCCAAGGGGACACTTGGAAAGGAGGAAGGGTTTTGCTGGCATGATCTGTAAGGAAGGAGTGATGTGTCCACAATCTGGAATGCATGAGTTTTTCCCCAGCAGTTGTTTGTTGTCAGTGTGACAGTGAGTGACACCCACTTTCCTCACACAGAGCATCAGCTGCCACTTTGCCAGCTCAGAGTGTCACTACATTGATGTCAAGAACACAACTCAGGAGCACCTGGAGAAGGAGCTGCAGGAAATGGTTTGCAAGAAATACAATGCAACTTCTGTGGAGCTCAAGGTGAGACTTGGCTCAGTGCCCTTTGTTACAAACCAGGTCAGTTCCCTTTCCCAAGTCTCTCCTGTGGCACATTGGTGCTCTTTGCTGTGCCTAGCTTGGCAGATCAGGCTGTACCAGGCAGAGGTGCTTGGCAGGATAAAAGACCTGATGTTCAGAGCATGACTGGCAGGCTTTTTTGGGGCCTTTTTCCTCCTAATGCCTTGTTCACTGGCAGCTTCCTCACATCCTATGATCTCCAGAAATTCCTTCAGAAGCTCTGCTTATAAATAAAAAAATTGCTCCGAATTCGAAACTGTAAGTTGGAATAAATTCAGTGCTTGTCCAGTTTTTATGTCCACAGTTCTCACAGTTCCCCCCCAATGGTGGGTGGATTTTCCTTTTAAAAGAAGTAGCCACACCTGATCACAATAACAAATGGATTTTTTTTTTTGCTTAAATATAATCCCACATCAGTTGTTTATACTCGAGGCTGTAGCAGGTTTGTCAGCAGTGATATACCTCTGCCTCAAAAAAAAATGGGACTAATGGACTCTTGCTGAATAACTGAGACCATTGAGTAAAATAGAAAGCAAATGTAAATTCTTCAGGGATCCAGCCACTGAAAGATAAATAAACCTTTTTGCTGGGGTGAAAAAGTTCTGAATATCTTAATCTGCAGCAGTTCCCAAGCGTGTGCAAAGCCAGTATCAAAGCAGTAAAGTCTGGATGTAAAAGCAGCAATTTTATTTTACAGTGTACATGTTTTACAATATCTGGGGCTTTCTGGAGGGGGGAACTTTCTTTTTCACTGTCACTGCAGGCCCCCAGGCAGGTATTAATTAGCATTGACTCCATGATTCTCAGAAGGCTGATCAATCACTTTATTACACTGGACTTATTAAGAAATCCATTGTCCTTACAGACAGTCACAATACAGGTGGACCCAACTGGTCCTTCAATCCAAACACCATCACCACTGGCCAATTAAGAAACGACCCTTTGGTAAACAAATCTCCATAACACATTCCACATGTCCACAGCAACAGGTACAGCAAGTGAAGATAAGAATTGTTTCTCATTCTTTTCTCTGATCTTCTCACAGCCTTTCCCAGGACGATGCCTGGCAAAGTTGTGCCTGTTGCTCTCTGTGGCCTGAGAGCTGCTGCCACATTTCACCCTTGGTGATTTGTGTTGTTCTGTGTGTTTCCCCAGTGTGCCTGGGTGTGGTGGGGTGCCCAGCTGTGTTTTGCAAGCTGATCTTTCATGTCTGTAAAGCCACAGCTTGCTTGGCTTTCAGTTCCTGGGGTTATTTAGATGCTTGGTGAAATCCAAAGGGATGTGAAGTCTCTCCTTCTCTTGAGTGGAAATGAGGTTTTTCTTACAAACCCCTAAATGAGGTTGTTCTTACAAACCCCACAGAGAAGTCTCTGTGTTCTCGTGTAGCTTTAAGGATTTTTTTTTAGCCAGAGTTGGAGTTTTCTCCCAGAGGAGTGCCCAGGTCTTATTTCACCTTCACAAGATGATAAGAACTAAGCAATCCTCTATTTTCATCTCTGTAAACTGGAATCCTGGTGACTTTTTTCTGGCCCTCAAGGTGCTTTTCCTTTGTCTCATTTTTGTTTTGAAGGATATTTGGAACTTCCGAGCACGGCTGGTGCAAGGGGAAAGAATCAACCTGTAGAAGACCCTGTGAAGAGCAGGATGGGAAACATGGACCTGAGAATGAGCTTCTCTGGGGGAAGAACACAGACCCTGGGCAGGCAGAATTCCCTTTGTTGATCTCTGTAATGGTAACTTAGCCAAATGCTGCACTGCAAAATCGTTCTATGCTAATTCAGAATAATTGCACTGAGCTTGGTGGCTGATGTATGTCAAAGGAAACCTAACCTAGAAAAACAGATTTGCTGCAGGTGTCTTAGACAATCAAATCAGTCTTGAAAGAACACCTTGATTTTCTTGGTGTTTTCATTCTTGTTTCTTAAAAGTTTTTAACATGACACACCTTTAGAATGATGCTATACCAATGTAGGATTTTATGCAAGAATTTCTAGTATTTCCAACTTGTTTTCCTGTGCCAAAAAAAAAAAAGTTTTAGACAAGCCCTCAGTGACATGGGGAGTTACTAGTGTAGCTGATGAAGATGTGGGTGCAGTGGTGTAAGGAAGTGGCTAAAGAGAAAGCAGCAGCCACTCACAGAGAAAAATGGGATTTATGGACAGGAATATGATTGCTGGTAGAGCTCCTCAAGCTTGGCTTGGCGTGGCATCATACCTGACCAGGCAGCTCTGGCACAGGTGAAATATGAGTCTGACAGTGTTGGGAGCTACTGGGCCAACAAAGCAGCCTCCCACTGGCCTTGCACAACTGATGCAAGGCTGTGTGAAGTGAGGGAATCCTTTGAGTCTGGCAGGCCTGGGAAAAGGTGCCTTTTGCTGAGTTTTTAACATGACACACCTTTAGAATGATGCTATACCAATGTAGGATTTTATGCAAGAATTTCTAGTATTTCCAACTTGTTTTCCTGTGCCAAAAAAAAAAAAAAAGAGTTTTAGACAAGCCCTCAGTGACATGGGGAGTTACTAGTGTAGCTGATGAAGATGTGGGTGCAGTGGTGTAAGGAAGTGGCTAAAGAGAAAGCAGCAGCCACTCACAGAGAAAAATGGGATTTATGGACAGGAATATGATTGCTGGTAGAGCTCCTCAAGCTTGGCTTGGCGTGGCATCATACCTGACCAGGCAGCTCTGGCACAGGTGAAATATGAGTCTGACAGTGTTGGGAGCTACTGGGCCAACAAAGCAGCCTCCCACTGGCCTTGCACAACTGATGCAAGGCTGTGTGAAGTGAGGGAATCCTTTGAGTCTGGCAGGCCTGGGAAAAGGTGCCTTTTGCTGCTGCCAGGCTGAGGAAGTGTTTGGATGCTCCCCGGGACGCAGTGGTGGCAGGGTGGAGTGATGCACACTGAAATGATCCTCTTGCTTTTGACAGTGTTTTTCCTTGCTTTCTGAAAGATTCTTTGGTTTTCAGAATCTATTTTTTGAAATAAAGACTAAACCAGAGCAAAACTGCACTTGAGGGCTGTGTGGTGTCATTGCTGCTGCTCAGAAACTGTGCTGGGGGTGTTGTTGAACACCCCAGGCCAAAGCACCAACGCTCAGCTTGTTTCCACTCCTCCCCAGTCCACCCAAAAAGGACCAAAGGCTGCAGTGATGGGCTCTTGTGGCACCTTCTGCCTTGTTTTGTGATTCTTCATCTTCGTGCAGCATATCTAGGTTTTCTTGTTTGTTCTTTAAAGAAAATGAGGTTTGAGCACAGTTATGTATAGGGCCTACACCCTTGGTGCTGGAGTGAGGAGTCTGGGCTGTGGTTCCCACCTGGAGCCAGACCTCTCAGCAGCCTCTGGTTTGACCACAACACCAAGAAGTCTGGTGAGGGCTCAGTGGGTGATTTTGGGTGTCCTGGTTCCCCGTGCCCTCTAGAACCCTGGCACTGATCAGCTCCTGTGGAGAGCATGGGCCCAGGTCGGTGATTTCCAGTGAGTTGGAGATCCCTCTGCTGGCTTTGCTGAGTCCTCTCCATGGGATTTTCATGAGAACTTGGTGTGTTCTGTCTGGTTCACAGCACAGGATTGATGGAGATTTCCCTGTCTGGCGTCCCTGGTGGAACTGGGTTGACTGCAGAGGGAGCTGTGACCACGGAGAAGAGCTACAGGTGTCACATTCCCAGTTTCAAGACTTGAGTTTCTCTTACTATAGCTAGGAAAGAGAAGAAAAGGAGGAAGTTGACCTTTGTTTTTAAAAATTTGTGCACCTCTGCCTATTGGTTTCAGCTTACAATTGCCTCTTTCAGAAGAACAAACCCATCAACGCCCTTGGAGATCATCTAAACTCAGCAGCTGTCCCAGCTGATAAGAGACCTGTGTCCTCATTCCTTCCCACACTTGTTGGGTAACTGCCCTCTGGGGCAGGCTGTGCTCGTTCTGCTGGGCAGAAACAGTTGGATGAAGCTGGATTCTCCCAGAATGGATGTGTGGTGTTTCTGGACATCTCTGCTGTAGCAATAATACCTTTGAGAAATAAACTTCCAACTCCATTAGGCAGAGCTTCAAGAGACAGGGAAATGCAGAAGCTGTTGAAATGCTTGGGTTGCTGGGTATTTTAGTGAAGCAGCACTTACCCTATTAGAAAAGTTGCTTGAATTGAATCAAATTAAAAGCAAAATATTTATTTTAGTAATAGTGTGTTTTAGTTTAGCCCTGGCTTAGTGGGATGCTTTTTACAATTTGGTTTGCTGTAAGTGTTCAGGTTCACATGTTGGGGGTATATGTGTGCTCCTAAATTGATGTAACAGCATGTTATATCTAAAACTTCCTTTCCAGCTAACTTCATGGTCCTGCAGCTTAGCTTAACCATGTTAGCCCTTCTTGGACATTTTTTTTAATAGCAGCATCCCAATTTCAAAAAGGGCCATGTATAATTAGACATCTGGCTGCTTATTTGGCCATCTGCAGTTGCATGAAGCCCCAGTGTTTCAGACACATTTTTTTCTGCTTTGACATTTCACATGTGTTGGAAACAAAGGCTTCCTGGAGCTTGGTAAAAGACAATAAACACAGAGAAGATCTTTTGCTCAGAATTTATGTGCTATTTTCCAGACTAGCAGTTCAGAAATGTCAGATTTAGTCTGACTCCTGACCTTGCTGACAGCGGCTGCACGCTCAGCGCTTTGATGTGAAGACACTGGGTAGGTGCCAAAGGAAGGATTTTGAATCCCAGCTTTGGCTTCTAGTGCTGTAGATCAAAGTCTTCATGCAAGAGAAATGGGGAGGAAAAGCAAGTTTAATTAACTACATTATAGTTTTTTCAAAGTAGATTTGACTCTATAAGCTGATCTGGGATGTAGGAGATCCTTTTCCAGCAGTCATTTGTAATCGGAGTGGCAGTGAGTGATGCCCAATGTCCTCACAGCTGTCACCTCACTGGCTTAGAGTGCTACTACAGGGATGTTAAGAACATGATGCAAGAGCAGCTGGAGAAAGAAGTAATTGAATTTGGACATGCAAAATATAAAACAGTTTCTGCTCCAGACCTCGTGCTAATCTTAAATCACTGCTTTATCTTGTAACTCACAAGTAATTTTGGCCTTTCTGCTGATAAGGTTTCTTGCTGCCTGCCCATGCTGGAGAACTATCTTTGCTCCACAGACAGCCCCTTCACATCCCTGGAAATCAGCCCAGGAGCTCTGCAAATCCACCTCTACTCATCACTATTCCCACCTCTGGGCTGCCAAATTTTATTTCATCCATGTTCTTTGCTATCTTTTCAGTGAAAATCAACCCAGGTAGGACGAGTTTGTGCAAGCAGGTATTTAGATGGGAGAGGCTGTTATTCAATCATTCTATAACAGGATTTGCAGGAAGAGGACGCAGTTTATAAAACACCCATCTGAGCACCTTCTCTGCTCACCACATCAATCCAATGAGCCTTTTGGCTTACACCAGGCAGGGTCTTGTGCCTTGGAGCTTGTAGCTTTTAATTTCATTTAGTGTTGTCTGTCCATTTCTGTTTGAGACTTTGAAGAGGCAGTGAATAAGTTAATGGGTGTTTTTATGTCCAAACAGATCTGCTCGTACCAGGAAGAAGCAGCAAACACTGCATTCAAAGATGCTGCTCTCTAGGTTTGTTGTTGCTGGGTTTTTTTGGTTTTTTTAAATGCAGGTAGCTAGGAAGAAATGAGCAAAGGTAGTGTAAGGAAAAAGAATCAATTTTTAAAGTGACCTCTAAAGAGCAGGATGGGAAACCTGTGTCTAAGCAGGAGCTTGAGGAGCCAGATCCATGTGCTTTTTGCCCCCTGTGTAAGGAACTTGCCCCAAATGCTGCATTACAAAAGTATTTCATGCTAATACAAAATAGATGCAGCAAGGCTGAACACCTGATGCACTTCAAAGAAAACCTGACCTACAAAATCAGATTGCTGCAGCTACTTCAGGTAATCAAAGATTATGATGAGTTGTGCATTACTTATTTTTTCTAGTCATTCTCTTGATATACTTTTGGGCTGACACTCTGTTAATGTAAGGTTACTAATAATATAGTTGGTAAAATCATACTGACATAAAATTCCATGTGTAATTATGTGTTTAAGGGTTTTAACATCCTTCAGCTCAAAATCAACCAATGAATCAGTTTCAGTGTGAGTTTATATGGGAAGTAATTGGTACAGCTGATGAAGAACGTGGATTTTATTTTGTTTTTAAATAAAGATTAAATTGTAGAAAAACCAGCTTTAATGGCTGCACTGGATTATTTCTGTGGCACAGAAATTCTGTTGTGGCATGTGTGGCTGAACAATCAAAGTGAACCCTGGAAAGGCAGGTGCTGGGTCTGAGGCAAACATCAGGGTGCTGCAGCTGAGACTCACCCAAAAATCCAATAACTGCTGGTCCTGCAGGATGTTTGGGCCAAGCCCCTTTTGGAGACAGCTTTGGGCAAAGCACCTGTCAGTATCTCCTCATCTCCTGGCTCTGACCATCCTGACTGATCCCAGCTTCCCTGCTGTTAGAGCCGAGTGTTCAGGAATCAGGGTAGCAGTGCAACCTCTGGCACAAGAAAAGCATCCAGAATAGTGAGGCACACAAATTCCAATACATCCATCTCCCCCACTCCTTGTTTACTGCTAGAGCTTAAGCAAAGGAACTGGTTTGGTTTCTTCACCCTATTTTTGCATATAAACATTGCTTTCACTCCCATGGAGATAAGTCTTACATATCCCAGTCCTGGGGGCATTTATGAAAATTAAACATTAACCCTCCTTTGACATTTTAATTTCTGCAGGATCTCTTTTCCTTGGGCACAAGAGACAGGAACTGGCAAAAGTGTGAAGCTTTCAACATGCTGGCTGAAGGCTGATACCAAGGTGAAAACCATGGTGGTTTTGTGGACTCCAGGTGAGAAACTCCTGTTGAGTCTGAATGAGCAAATTCTGTGAAAGCTGAACTTAACAGACCACAAACCAGTTCCTTTTGGTGATTCAGCACTGACCTTGTGAGAAAACAAAAGATGCTGAGGAAGCAACTCATCCTCTTCCTCAGAGAAATACCATGCAGAACCAGGGAGAGTTTTAATCTGTACTCTATTTATTCTGAATGAGGAATCCACAGAAGATGTTGCCAAGCAATGTCACAGTTACTGATTTTGTCCCCTAGCAGTGACACCCCTCAGCAAATGGTACCAACAGGAGACTGAAATGAATGCTACAGGCCAAGTTCCACCAATATAAAAGCACCAGTAAGAGATGAGGGCTGCAGAATGCTGAGGTGAATCCATCCAGTTGCTTCAAATGAAGTAACTTATTTCTCTTCCAGCCCCTGTGCAAGCAAGAGGCATTGACAAGACCACTGGGACATGTGAGATGTTTAGTGGCACTTTGATCAAATCACTAAAGTTAGGGGGGTTTAGGCACTTAAAAATATCCTGTGATCCTGCTGGCCATGAGCTAGGGGCAGGAAAGGCTCAGGTCCAGGAAAAGCTGGGTAAATGCCCCAGGCATCCCTACAGAGATGTGCTGTCAGAAAAATGCCTGTATGGAGAGAGCAGTTCTCAGGAGCCACCTCTTGGTCTGAGACAGCTACTGTTCCCATTTAAAATACCAGAAAAAGGGTAAAAAGTTTAAAATATAATCACTCAGCTCTTTAAAACCACTCACAAAGTGGTGCCAGATTCATTAAAATGTTTTTCAAAGTGGGAGCTACAGGTGTGTAGCCACAAGAGCTCTGTAGTGTGGATGGTGGGGGACAGGCAGCTCTGAGTTTCCAGCATAAACACTGCTGGCTTGCAGGGCCAAAACCATGGAAGGGTTTTCTTGCAGGTAAGCCAAGGAAAAACTCAGGACATCTGTTTGACATCTATTTCTAAGGGTTCAGAGTGAGTAATTTCAAAACCAATGGAGAATGCCCTGTGCCTACAACCCTCTCACACCCCTTTCTGTCCAAGAGCTGAAGACAGCTTGTCTTGAACATATCTGAGTATTAATTTATAAGTGCTTATGGAATCTACAGTCATTTCCATTCATGATGATCTGTCACCTAATAGTGAGGTCACTCTTGTGTTGTTAGCTGGAAAGAACAGGCACAACTGTGCATTGCACATGAAGTCTTAGTCAATTAAAAAAAGATCAAAGTTCAATATCCATGCAGTGGCCTGGTAGACTCTTGGCAGATGATATTTTCATCAAAAACTGATTCCCCTACTGATTCATCACTAAAACCTGAATCCTCTTGGCAGTCCAGTATAAATGTGTTTCAGACACAAAAATCCATCCATATGTTGTGAAAAAAATCAACTCCAGGTCACTTAAGACTATTGAGAAATTTTGGTTGTTCTTCTCCTCTTGGTAGAAGCGTTTCTCCACCAATCTTCGGGCCTTTTTTCTCCTGGAAACATGAACCATGGAGAAAAGAAGTTAAATGTGTGGTAGGTGTCTCCCAAACACTTCTCTGGCAGGAATTGTGGTAGGGCTAAATTACCTGACTAAACATTGACAGACCCTTTAGGGACCTTGACATTTTGACTTCTTACAACTTTGTTCAAATGCCATTTCCCCATGGTTAAATAAAACAAAGCTTTGAGAGCAGAAAGCAAAAAGCAGCAGTCCACTATAATACAGCCTGCAGGCACCTGTGTGTACCTGACAAAGTGCAGAGCTGTTGGCTTTGCTGGGAGGGACACAGAACCAAAGAGGGGGACAGAAGTACCACGGGAAGCAGCTGTGAGGTGCTCACTCACACTCACCTTTAGCATCCCATCTCGCTCCCACTTGAAGAGGCCACAGTTACTGAAAGAGGAAGAGGGCACGTGAGGAACACTGAGCTGTGTTTGCTGCACAGGATGAGGGGACACCAAAGCAGCCCCTCACCCAGCCCATGCTCCTTGGCACAAGGACCAACATTCCCCTTTTAGGACATGGTGACTCACAACAAGTTACTTGTGAAGGGTACCTAAGTCCCAGTCACTGTTTCATGAGGCTCATTTCTTACCTGCAGGGCTTTTTTGGAAGCCTGTCAAGGGAGATCGCTCTGCTTCCACAAGGACATTTGAAAAATCTCTTGATGGCGTCATGCCAGAGGTAGTTGTGCTTATCCTGCACACAGGTCTCCAGAGGCTTGAAATAGGTGTAATTACACTGTCAGGGAGGAGAGAGAGAGTGTGTGAGACCTGTTCTGGGGACTGGAAACAGCTGAATGTTCAGAGGAAAGCATCCCTGTGCTCTCCCATCCTGAGGAGCCCAGCAGCTGGATCACCACCCCAGGCTTTGTCCCTGCTCCTAATGCCATCCTGCCCTTGCCACCACCCTGTGGTCCTGCTCCCAGCACTTCACGGGGCACAAGTGTCCCTCTGTGCTATCCCAGAACAGGTAGGGAAGGCAGCAAGAGGGAAAGTTCAGCAGGGGCTGAAACTTTGGAAGGGGGAGGTAATGCTTCCCTTCCTCTCAGGACATTTGGGACAGTCATAAAGCTCTACTCCTATTCCTGATGGCCAAGTCCCTGGAAATGCAGATAGAGAATTCTACCTGAATGTTTTCAAGGACTTTGCTTATTTTTTCATAAAATATGGGGAACTGAGAGTCCTGGTACAAAGCACTTCATGGAAACAATGGAGAAATTCAGGACAGCAATACCCATGGAACCACTGGCACAAGCACTGAGCTGAGATGAGCACAGCACTGAAGCCTTGCAGTGTCTCAGTCACTCTGTGCACAAGCTGCTCTCAGCAACAGGCATAAGGAACAAACCATCAATCCCTGCACTGGGCCACAGCCAAGAGAGTGACAGATGGGAGGCTGCAGGATAGTCCTGCACCATTTTGTACAATCCATGTTCCACTCCCCTGCTGGTACCCTGGCTCCCCTTCACTCACTGTTTTACATGTCACAACTCTGCATTTCACTGCTTTAATGTTCCTCATCTTCTCTTCCAGTTCTTCCTTTTTCACCAGGGGCTGAAAGTATTTCTCCTGCAGTTCAGCCTCAACCTGCAGGGCACACAAAATTGGTTGTGAGGACACAGAGAGGGGAGAAGCCACTCCATAAATGGTCCTAGGGCAAATTATTGTCAGGTCTGCTTAAAGCAGACTGCAGTCTGGGAGCAGAGAAACAAAACATCTCTCTTGTTTCAAACAATTCATTATTGTACATGTGCTGTAGCTCACCAGCACTGACACGAGCCACCAATGAAATGCATGAGTGGGAAGGTTTAACAGCAGCAGGAAGTACTGAAATAATACAGCACATTCCCCTGAGGACAGTGCAGAGAGAAGTCAGGTAGGCAGAGGGAATTAATAGGTTCTTAGCCAAAATGTTACTCCCCAGAAGACCTTAAAACAACTATGACTTCATGCCAGTAAGTGTCCAAGACAAGAGCCCTGTGCCACTGGAGGTGCTGTAACCCTGGGGAAGTGCTCAGCAGAGACCCCCAGTGTGAACAACCCAACCTCTGAGCTCTCCAGGGCACCTGATGGCATTTCACAGCTGACATGAGCCCCAGATGAAGGTGGCAGCTGGCTTTATGTGGCCCAGATGTCAATAATGAGGGACAAAATAGGCATGTGGCTCATTTGATTTTAAGGCAGAGGGATTTCTTTGATTATCCATCAATAGGAAACTTCACTGATTCTTCCAAACACAACAAAAAAACTGCTGTCAACTGGCAACATGACCTTACCCTGGCTATGGCAGCAGTGCTGACTTGCAGGCACTGTGCCCTGTGTGCCCAGAGACACCCAGCCCTGCTCCTTGGGACAACCTGGAGCCTGGGAGATGTTTGGTGCTTGCTGAAATCATGAGGAGTCCAGTCAGGTCCCCATTCTAAGCCCTCAGTCACAGCTGGAAGGAGGCCATACCTCTTTTAGGACATCTGTGTGCTTGGACTTGGCCTTCAGGATTTTCTGAAACTCTTCTGACTCCAGATAGGCCAGCTGCTGACGCCGTTTCTTTTGGTCAGGCTCCAGTTCATCCATTTCTAGGGAGACAAAAAGGTTCAGTCCTACAAAACAAGGCACTGAGGGCTAAACTTGCTCACTGCAGGAGATTTTGGAAGTCTCAGGTCTCTCAGGCAGATGTTCAGGTCAAACAGCAGCCTTTCATAGTTTGGGAACTTGAAAACAAGTTCAAATATGGCTTCAGAAAAAATAAAAGTATTTTTTAAAAATAACATTGCATCTTCTCTCAAAGCACTGTACTAGGAATTTTCACATTACTCCCAGGAGTGCAAGCAGTGTTCCCTCACTGACTTTAAAGAATGAAGAAACTTTAAAGGGAATTAAACAATTCATCCAAGATCACACAGTAAATCACCAGCAGGCAAACTCAAGTTCCCACAAAAAATTCAGATACCTTCCCAGGTGGGAGGGTTCTTGTTTTCCTTTGGTGAAGTCAGCCTTGCACTGCAGATGCTCAAGTGCCAGAGGAAAGGGAACAGAGATGAACACAGGGAGCTATCAGAGATTACATCTCACACTTTCTCCACAGGGTTAGAGATTTTTTATTCTTTCCAACAAACCCTTGAAGTTCCAAACAGACCTAACTTGGCCTCTTTTCAGCACAGCAATTAAGTCCTTAACCCAGAGCAACTCCTGCTCTGTCAGAAGGACAGAAGCACACTATTTTCTGTTCTAGAAGCTAACAGTACATACCATTGCCTGCTTCTGCACCTTGTGGCTGAGCAACATTTTTCTCAACTCTTTCCACAATTTCCAGGACATCCTCAGCATCAGTGCGTTTCCTCTTGATGCTGTTTGGGTCTGTTTTAGGAAGAATCTGCCCTTTTGCTCGGAGTCGTCGTATTGCAGCCAGCTAGAAAACAGGAAAGGGCAGGGGAAGAGTGGCTGACCTGTCTGGCTCCCAGCTCCTGCTTCCAGAAGAAGCAGAGGAAGAGAGAACATCCACTGGCCTGAGCAGGGAGCTGGCTGGAGAGAGTTCCAACAAAATTCCCAGCTCTGACATACACCTAACCTTTAGTGAATTCCCAAACCAGAAAATCACCTCTGCACAGGTGTTACCAGGCCTGGTGTCTCTGCAGCTGAGCTTTACCTGCTTCACAAATCAGTAAGTTTTTCAGAGAAATCAAATAATTTGAGATTTCCATATAAATTGATCATAATTAGGAACTAATAGAAAATTTATTACAACTATTCCTTCTCATACTCCCAGAATGCTAAGACTTCCTCATTCTAGCTGGAAAAGTTTCTTTGACAAACAAATGAACATATTTTTACAAAAAAAAAAGATGCAGTTTGTTTTGGCTGGAAAACAAAATTATCCAGACTCATGACACAACACAGCTAAACCAGTTGCTTACCTACCTGTCACACAGAAAACACCTGCCATACACTGCACTAGCAGTGCCAGAGTTTAGCACTCCAGGGATTTTAGGCACAAATCCCTTCCTTTAAGAGATTGACTGAAGGCAAGATGGCAGCATGGACTTTGGCACTGACAGCTGTCAGGAACCACACGTATCCTGTGTGCTGGAATATAGGCCAGTGTGATCCCTCAAATGAGAAACTTCACTAACACCAGAACTGTGCTGACCAAAGACTCGTCTTCTACCACAAACCAAATTCCCCTTAACCTCTCTTTAAAGATCTGAAGATCTTTAAAGATCCGAAGAGCTGGTACCTTTTTGGCTTCTGCCAGGCTGTCTAGCTTTGGCCTTGGAGGAGGAGACTTGTCAAAGAAGAGGATGTCTTCTCCTTCTGAGAAGCCTGTACCGAGCCTGGGCCTTTGAGGAGTTGACATTTTTGCAGCTTTGGGAAACTCTGCCCCAGGCACTGGGGAATGGAGGGAGGTCTCTCTGGAGGAGGATGGCAGAGCAGGAGTGCTGGCTTTATCTGTGTTCTGGAGAAACCTTGTAAGACAAGAATAATTCATTCAATTAGGGACAAGTCAGAGATAGAATGGTTTAAGAAACAAATGGGAGGGAATGCAGACTATGATTTTTTACTATTTGGCCTTTAATTGCTAAAAGAAACACACAGCAATTTTGGTATTCAGAAGAAAACAAGACTGGTAAAGGACTCACTGGGGCACTGAAATCAAAAGTGACTTGAACAAGTCAGCACAAGGAGTGAATGACCAATTGTTTTCAAAGCTAAAATCAGAGAGAGGCATCACACAAAGCTGAGAAGTGTAAACACAGCTATCCTTACAGATACAATAACAGAACCCTTCCTGTGGAAGCCCCTGTGTCTCACCGCCTCTGAATCTCTTCAGATCGCTTTTTTCTGGCCTCCAGCAATTTCTGTTTCTGTTGCTTGAGCAGTGCTGAAGCAGAGATAGACTGGAAATTTGCCCCTTGCTTCTTCTCAGCATCTGGGAAAAAATAATAAAGCAAAATAAAAAGCCACTTTTTTCAGAAGGAGGTAGAGTGATTTTAGGAGTGGGTCTTCCTTCAGGCAAAAGGACAATACCTGTTTTGGTCCAGTGCTTGGAGAGGTTTCGTGCTCCAAAAGTTGGCTGTGCCAGCAGTTCCCTGAATTCTTCAGAACACTGCATGGGTCTCTTTGCTGCACCTGAGTGGAAGAGGCAGAAATACAACAGATTTGACATGGGAAGGGAAGCAGGCCTGGCTTTTGAGATGTAAAGTTGTCTAGGTTGGAAGAAACCCTTGCAGGTCAGCTGACCACTTCCTCAGAGCAAGACCAACCTTTACATTATATTTGGTTGCCCAAGGTCTTGTCATTTGTCACAGACATTTCTGTCCCTCTCGCTCAGTTCCTCACCAGTCTTGGCTGTCTGTGTTACTCCCACCATTCCCATTTTCAGGATGCTTGACAGTCCTAAAGGCTGCACACTTTATCCCTGGAGAATTCACAGCAGCTAAAAGCTGCATGGACATACACTGTGTTGTCTGAAATGGAGGTAACTAACAGATGGAACTGAAAGATGTAAATAAGACTAAGTGGCACCTAGAAGACAGTTTGAATAATCTGTCACCTGCTATCCAAGGAGCATAAAGAGTGTAATATTAAATGCTTTACAGAAACCAAACAGAGGCAGGGAAGACTGATGACATCCCAGGGGCTACAAAAGAAACATGCTTTGACACAAAAGAAAATCACTAGAAACAAGGTGGGTTTTCAGGAGGGTGCCTGCATTGCAGACCTGACTGATTTATACTTAGTATTCCTTAGAAGCTTTCAAGCTGACAGAAATAATTTATTTTAATCAAATAAAATAAATCCTTTGGTTCAAAGTTCTTGAAACTTCCAATTCCCATTAATCTGGCAAAGATCTTCTGTCACTATCCAAAGACAGAACAGGAGACTTTATCTGGGGGCACTGATGAAAAAAGATGCATGAAGCCACACAGTTGCTTATTAAATTTGCCTTGAAACTGTGATCTCAAGAGGGAAGAGTTTTGACCAGCTGAGGAAGCTGCCTGCAAATGACCCCTTCTGAACAAAGTACTGCCAGGTTCAGTCAGTGATAGAAGGCCCTGGGACAGATCTACAAGGTGGAAACACCTAAGGAGTGAAGAGACTACTTGAGTAATCAGGTACCAATTTTCTGCTTGGTTTCCTGGACAATTGCATCAGCTCCTCTCACGACCAGGTTGGAGAGAGTGGTTTGAATCTTCCTTTTGGGCACAGCAGCTGATGCACTAGAAAGAGGAAACAAATCCAGAACATCAGAGTTTTTCCAGGACAGAAGCCTGAATACTAGCCCAGTGGAACAACAAAACTCCAGCCACCCTAAAGGGCCAGCTGTCTTTTTGGAAGGATGTGAATCCAAATCCAAATTCCAGCATAATGTTTGGGATCTCCCATTTCTCCCTTTGTTGAGATATGTATTTCCTATGCACTGAAGAAAAACTAAACATAGATCAAAGCTTTGCTTTACTCACAGGTCGTTCCAGGGATGGAAAGGAGGTTGGAATTGCTTCATTACTGTGGAGTCACACCAGGTATTAGAGGGCAGTGGTAAGGGAATAAAAGCTGTGTCCAAGCACAGGGCTGGATCCAGCTGTGACTCAGCTCTTTCCACATCTGTCTTCATGGGATTTGGATAAAGGACCTGGCCCCTATGAGATGAATACTGATCTTTGTCAGTCCTGTTTCCTCATTAACCCAGAGTGACACTGTATTATTTCAGCCAGGAAAGACATGAGGAGATACAGAAAACACTGACTCTGGGATTAAATGCAGTAAGCTTTAAGAAAATAACTACACAATCTCAGAGACTCAAATGCTTGGGATCTCATGATCTCAAAGTCCATTAATCTACTGAAACACAAAGCTGCCTGGCTTCACATCACAGTATTAATGTAGAGGTAAAAACAACCCTTACCACATCTTAGCACCAACTTAAAATTAACAGCAGGTCTGTTACCCCATGTGGCCAGTAGGATTTTGCAAAGTGTGGGGCTTTATTCCTATCTGGTGAATGTAGTTAAGGCAAAGGCATTCTCTAAATGTATAGACTCCCTTAGACATAGCTTCAGGCTCCCTTGTATATGTGAGGGAAATTCTGTTCAAAAGCAAGGGGAATAAATGGTTTATCTTACACTGAGGCTGCATATGCTGCTGAAGAGACTCCTCCATAGTAAAACCCATCCTGACACAGCCTCTCCTTCAAAGTGGGATTTTTCCGACCAGCTTTTCTGGGAATGCGGCCACCGGAAAAGGTGGACTGCAGATCCGCCCGCTTCGAGCTGAGCTTCTTGTACTGGGACTGGATGTGGTACTGACAGTACTCACAGTCATTCTGAAAAGAAACAGGACAAGTCTGTTACAGAACACCAGCAATTACAGTTTCCTTCATTCCTCTCACCCACATGCACCTTGTATGGCCAAAATGAAGTAACATCTCTACTGTGGTACTCCAGCATTTGATCAACTAAGCAAAAAAAAAAAAAAAATGTCCACACTCAAGCAATGAAAAACAGAGCCAAAATTGCCTATACTAATCACTGGAAACAACCCTGTGCATCAAGGAATTTAAGGCCATTCCTTGAAGTCAACTAATTTCCCACCCAGGACCTCTTGCCCAGATTCTGTATTCTTGACTCTACTCAGTTTTATGTACTGTCTGCACAGCCTCCTCCTGGACTGGGTCTGCAATCACAGACTGGACTGGCTGCCGGTACATTCTGCATTTTTCTTCTTCCCACTTCCCACACTTCCAGCTCCGCCTCAGTTCTTCATTCCTTCATTTTTGATCCTCCTTCTGACACCCTACTATCTACAACCCTTCTGACTGAGACAAGATTTCTTTCAGGTATCACACCATCACCACAACCATGAAGTAACATAATCCACAAGTCCTTTAAACTAGTACAAGTCAATAATGTCCTAAAAGAAGGATCCCAAAACCTTTTTCTCATTTCTGGTGCCCCACATACAGGTGTAAGTATCCTAACAGCTTGCAGGTATGCTGGACAAGGGAGCTCATTAGGTGAAAATCATTCAAAAAAAATAGCCATTCCCAAAAATAATCTTGTGTTGTTTTTCTGGATGAGTTTTCTGATGCAGTGCATGGAAGCTTGCTCTGGAGCAAAGAGTGAAAGGGTGTGGCATCATGGGTCAATACCATCTCCTTTCACTGCAGCACCAGCCTTGCATTCAGGGAAATCCCCCGCACAAGGACAACACAGAAACCGCTCCTCTGGGTTCCATTTCTCACTTTCTCCACCCACTTGAATTAGTTGCAATTCAAGATCCAGAAACAAGTAAGAAAAGTCAGAGTATCAGCACAAAATCAGTAGCCAGGTTTTCACCAGCAGCTTAGGAATGAATGCCCTGACTACTGAGATACAGACCAGGTTCACAATCTGTGTACAAGGATCACCATTCTTCTTCCTGGCTTTGCAGGTGCCCATATCCAGAGCTTCTCCCATGAGGAGGATCTTCTGGGGATGGTCAACAGACAAACACACCTAGAGAGAAATCAGAACACTCTGGATAGGCTCTTTCTAGATGTCACTGCTTTGTCTCTGATCTGGGTCAGTACCTCTGGTACTAACAATGTAGTCTTAAAATGCAGGCCTAGCTTGACAAAGCCACATGTCCTATTCAGATTGAGAAATGGCTCAGTTAAAAAGGAAAAAATGAAATTATTTCTCGCAAAGAGATGAAAGACATTTGAGTTGTATGCTCAGAGCCTCAGGAAACCAAAAAACACCTAAGGCAGTTCTAATTGTGCTGTAAATGAACCTGTACAGCTGCTTGGCTCTGACACCATCATGACCCCCACATCCAGCAAGGGATGGGAGGAAGAGCTGTACCAGGGCTCTCTGTCCTTCTCCAAATGTCTTGGTCCAATCAAAACTGAGTCCTGTGCAAGAAGAGTGTCTGCTTCACACCACCAAATACAGCAGGGACTGTGTCTGTAGCCAAGGGACAATTTCAGAAGTCAGTTTTAATGTAGCAATAAATGGGAACATTTTAGCTAGGAAGAGCCATTCTTGACAGTTAAATGCAGCCCTCCTATTAAATCTGCTGTGCCTTTCTGCTCACCAACGGGACTATCTACTGCTTATTCATGCTAATTTAAGCAATTATATAGCTTAAAAGACAATTAATGAGAGCCTTAATTTTTCTATTTGGAGAATTTAACATGCAGAACACTACATGATCAGCAACTAGACTGAAATTCCCCTTGACAGAAGTAACTGGAAACAGGTTACATTCTAGTGCAATTGAAAATATGGTAATTTATTAGCAAAATGAAGCCATCTTAAATGTTTTGCATGTTCTGCATTTATAAATAATCAATTAAACAAGTGAACTACTATGTATCAGCTGACATATATTTACATGTTTGTTTAATAAATCAAATATTGTTGCCTCTCTGTTGTGATTTTTGAACCAGAAACATTTTGTAATCGTATCTCATGCTTGAATTAGAAGAGAGAAAATGTGGTGCTCCACCTTTTTCAGCTTTGAGAGACCTCTAGGCTGAAATAGGTGTTACACTGAAGTTGCTGAATAAACTGAAATGAAAAACTCTCTGTATTTGTGGAAGAGCCAACTGCTACTGAGAGCAGATTAAAAACTGGAATAAACTCTGGGTTTAAATGGTTAATAGGACTTTTTGAAGTTCAGTCTCCCAGGAGGCCAGGAGCAGATACACACCATGCAACTACCTGAATGCAATTCCAACTGTTGGGCAGACTGAAGATGTGCTGTAAAGCGAAATCTCAGCCAAACATGAAAAGGTTCAGCTATAGGTTTTTATCTACAGCTGAATGAAAAATCCTCTCACCTCATCTGAGCCTTCTTTAGGTTTCATGGGGTTGGCATTGAGCAGGCCAATGACGGTGCCTTGGTCAGTCTTCCAGTGCTCCTTGTGGACTTCTCCAAACAGGAAGAGCGAGACGCACTCAGTGAGGTCCCGCAGGTCGTTCAGCCGCCAGATGCTGAAGGTCCTGCCCTGGAACAGACATTCCCTTTCCTTCCAGCTTTGCTGCAGACACACTGACTGCATCCCCTCTAGCTGTTTCTTTTCAAGAGCTATTCTGACTTTCTCCCTCCCAAGGTTTTAATGATTTAGAAAAGCACAATTTGTAACCTCAGTAGAGCTTACATACAGTATCTCCAGCCATGTTGCCAGTTTCTGGGGTCAAAAAAGGCCAAAATAGCAAATAATTCTGCTACTACCAAACTTTCTGATATCAAAGCTGGGCAGCACATTTGTTTCTGAATAAAGAGGTTTTTACCCCACTGAACACACAAAACCATGGCATATCCAGATCACTTTAATCAGTGATTTCTAGGACACATAGGATAGGATAGGACACATACAATACTGGATGAAACCAGACAAGCCAAGATCTTTAATACAGAAATTTTCCATTAACTACATGAATTGGCTGATTAAGTTGAAGATCTCTAGGGAAGTTTCTCAGGAAAGACCACCAGCATTTCACTTGAACTCTGCAGGGATACAATGAAGTTACTTACATTATTTGCGCTCTGAGGAGTGACCTTCTTCACTATGACTCCAAACGTTACCCAGTCTATTTCCTCCAGATTTTCAGTAGCAAGTTTGTTCTTCAGCTGAGACAGTCGGATGAGCTTCCTGTTAGCCATTTTCCTGTCCATTTCGGCTGAAGACACCCGGGGTTTTCTAGATCCAGTGAAAGCAAGTAAAAAACAACACATCCATTGGCACAAATGGACAATCAAAACCAACCAGCATTTCCCGGGGGAGACTACATCTTGCTGCAAAACACCTCTGTGCTTGCTTCACCCTGAGGTCACTTGAAATAAAACCCCCCATACCAGAAAGTTACTGATAACATTGTTTTTTGTCCAAATAGCTGCATGGCAACTCAGCCCCAAGCCTACATTAACTCTGCTCATTTCAGACTAACCAAGAATGGCTGACTGAGCTGGGAGTACAGCAGGGTTCTGGTGAGGACACCGTGAGGATTCGGAGTCCTCTTGTGGCCACAGTGAGTATAGGGATGGTGAGTGGCTCCTGAGGCTCCTGTGTGCAGCAAAAACTGGCTCAGCTGGGCTTTGCACATGGCCACTGCTTCCCTGCTCTGCCACTGAGATATCCCAGTGCTAATGCAATGAGAGCCTTTCTGTTAGAAAAGAGCAGAAGTGAATACAGAAACGTGGTACTAAGCCAAAAGTCAATGTTACATGATTACTGATCAACCAGACAGTGCTGTGGCTTTGTGTTACATCCCTTCATGACAAGTGACTAATCTGACATGGTTAAACCATGTATATACATTATGTTTTCTTTGCCTTTACTGGAGGGGTTGTCCCCAGACAGGGCTCAGAGTTGGGCTGCTGACCTTAGTCTCAGTCCTGAGAAGGTTTCCACAGACACTGGCTGCGTGGCTGCACTGGAGCATGCAGGCACGTGAGGAGTCTTCTCTCTGGTCACCTTACTGGGTGTGTTCCCTACGGCAGGCTTGAGAGGCTGGAACGCCAGACTGAGGACTTGCTGTGGAGGAGGAATCTTGTTCTCTTTAGCAGAAGAAAAAAGGCATAGCTCCCATTACAAAGAATGCAATAATTAACTTAATAATTAATTAACAAGCTCTATGCCATTGTGAGCAGATCACTCTTGGTGCACTGAGTAGTGTAACACTGTCCTGGATGTGTCCACACCACTGCTGGGAACTATAAGCTTTTGACAGAAGCTCAGTGTCTTTAGTAAAAGGTAGACTGAGAATGGTACCTGCTGAGGATGCTTTTGATTTCTGGATTCCTTGCTTGGCTGGTGGCAAAGGATTGCCCAGCTGGGCTGAGAAGCATGGTGATTCTTGCAGCTTCTGAACTTTCCTTTCCTTTAAGGGTGGACAGGGAGATTTACCTGGCCAAGGGAACAAAAAAAACAATGAGACTTCAGGATCTGGACTCAGACTCTAAGCACTGTTCCAAACTGTGTAATTCCTGAATAACAATCCCAAGTCAGTACCCCACATGGAAATCTTTCAGCTAAGTTGTCAGCTGAAATGCAACAGCTGAAAAAGCACCAAAGACTCTTCCCCGTGACAACTTAAGACTTTGGATGTCACTGCAGCCTCGAAGCTGTGGAAAGTAGAAACATCCCCTGTTTTGCAATCTTTCCATGAAGTTTCACTACAACATCCAGCACACTATAGCAACAAACACAGCTGCATATACCGGGTGTACCAACATCTGCCAGTAAGAAGGGACACCTCCAGAAGAGTCTGGAGCACTTAGACATGAAACCTGTCCAATGCAGAATTAATCCATGATGCAGAGACCAAAACTGATTTAATCTGTAGCTGTAACAACCTGTCTGGGAATACACCAGACCACCAGTCCTCCTTGCTACTTAGGATTATTTTGCATCCTGCCTATAAACTCACATGGGTAAGCCAATAAATCATAAATCCATTTCATTAGTTTCATTACCAGGGGTTTTCTTCTCAGGGCCTGAACTGGATTGCTGCCCAAGAGCAGTCTTCTGCAACTGCTCCTGTAACGTCTTCATCTGTTCTTGCAATTTTCTCAGCTCAGCTAGGAAAGGAAGGAGAAGAAAAAGGATAATAATGAAGACAGTAGGAAGCCACTGCACACAGGGATTTATGAGATCCCTGGAAGTCTGGCAGTTTTACTGCATCATGGAAACTTAAAGGAAGACTTGAGTCATAACGCAGATTTACTTGATTCTACATAGCTCATAGTGAAGGCAAACTTTTCCATACAGCCTCGAGCTGGGTCCTCTCTTAAAAATATTTTACTTCATTATGGTGTGTTCCTTCCCATGTTGAATACAACTTTCCTGCTCACCATAAGACAACTTCAATGGCTGATGATTGCACTCCTTAGCATGAAGAAGTACTTCCTCATATAATCAAATAGACAGCCTGGACACAGGAAAGCTGTGGCCAGCTCTGCTTCCACAATGACTTCCACACTGGTAGGGCAGAACCTCCTGTCAGTAATCCGAAGGAAGGGAAGGAACTGGTATCAGATGGCATCAGATACCATCCTGGCTGGTGAAAGATGCCAGGATGGTATCTGATGCCCTGAAGACTGAGGGCCAAGATTGCTCTTCATCAGACAAGGCACGGGTACACAGACAACCTTTCCTGTGCTACTCAGCACAGCTCTGTTCATCTCCCTGGCTTCCTTGTCCTGTCTTTCTTTTGGGAAAACAGGTTTGGTGAGTTTGGCCACTGGAAGCTGAAAACTGAACTTGGAAACTTTCACAAGACCTTTCAGTATTTCCTCTCCAGCCATCATCAAGAAGGGGCAGGCAATGCCTCCTGCCTGTTAGCTCTCTAGAGACAGAATATATCAAACAAAACAGATCAAAGATGCTGTTGCAGAAACCTTGCAGTTCTTCATTGGTTTTCTCCTTCGCCTGACTGGGACCTGAGGTGGGGACAGCTTTCTGTGCCTCCTCCTCTTCCAGCAGGTCATCTACATCTCCAAACAGCGTAGCCAAGTTCTCCTTCTGCTCATCAATCGTGCTGTCCTCTGCATCAACCTCCTCAGTGTAGGATGCATCATCTTCTGCATCAAAGAGCTCATCGTACTCATCTGGTTCTCCATCTTCATCCTCAGGAGCATCTTCCTCCTCAGCAGAATTCCTCTCCTCAGTTGCTTCGTTTTCTTCCAGAAGAGAAGCCAACAGATCCAAGTCATCATCAGCTAAGGCAAAAATGAGACTCAGAGTTATTTCTGTCAAGTTAAAAAAAAGCAGCTAAGGAATAAACATTCAAGACACCTTGACTACAAGCTAATGACAACTGAAACTAAATCAGAGCAGTAAGTAGCATTTTTTAAAAAAAAATATATTTCATGTTTAACTAAAGGCATCTAGAGCAGCTTCTGGCTGTGAGGCCAGATGGAAATGTAGGTGCAGATGCTCTCAGCTCATGGCACAGGCTGGAAAGTCAGCAGAAGACTTGCCAGCTACTCAGCACTGGCTTTTCCTCCTATGCAGTTCCTTGAGCAGCAGCTGCTGTTACACAGAAAAGCCTGGAACCTGTAAACATGCAGCCAACAGAGACACTCATGTGGCTTTTGCCAAAGGAAGGGGGAGAGGGATATGCAAGGCAGGCAACAAAGCACATCCTCGGATACAGTTTACTCCTGGAGAAACACAGAGAACAAAGAAATAGGGAGAAAAATGGAGAAGAGATAAGTACAGAGAGAAGAATGGGACAGACAGAGCAAAAATGAAAATCTGAACAAACCAAGAAACTAATTTAGCCTTTGCTGCTGAGGAAAACACCAAACCAGGGAAGGCAGAGCAGCCTCACAGGAAAGTGACAAGAAAGAAAGCAAGAGACAACCTCAAAGGACTCAGCCTCAAGCAAGAGGCAACCTCAAATAAACTCACTGGAGTGTAAATTCCTTTGCTAAAAGCCTCACCAGGTTTTCTGAACACTTGAACTTATTAGCTAGCAGGTTGATAAGAAGAAAAATTTCCCACTGAAAGGAAAATAATTTTCTCACTTACCATCCATAGTTTCACCGGGATTTCTTCAAGAACCCCTCAAGGCAAAATATTCTGTTATGGGGAGAACAAAAGTGATACTGTTAAAGTACATATACCATATCTAGAAATATATATTGTGTTCAGGCTTCTTGTTTCACAACTTGCAATCTACCAGCTTGGTTTTGTTTACAGCCACAGATGAGAACTCCATTCAATTTAAAACCCTCACATACATCTTCTACATCAAAAGTCCGACCCATGCTGAACCTGCTGCAGTGTAAGGACACTACTTTCATAAAAAAAACCCATTACAGACACAGAATTTAAGAAATGCCTACCACGTTCTCATAGTAATAACCATTTCCACCTCACCTGATTACACTGAGTACACCATAATTACAACTAGCATTTAACTAGTTATTAAAGTCTAACAGTTGTTATCATCAAAAGTGTACATTCTGCGTTTCTCACAGCTTCTCAATGGGTCCGTGGAATAAAAATCAGCACGGGCGGACATGAATGGGCCAGGGAAGCTTGGATAAGAAAGATGGATATCCACTGAGGCCAAACGAGTCACAAACTCGAAACCCTGCTTACAGACTTCCTGTTGCAGAACCTTTTGTTTCGCCCGCTTTTGACAGCTTTCTCACGCTCCAAAACATTCATTTTCAGCCACCCTGCTTAACGAGCAGGCAAGGCCGGTGCCGGCGACCGCCGCGGACCCCGCGCTTTCCCCTCACGGCTCCCTCTGCCCTCGGCCGCCTCCCTCACTCGGCAGAACCCCGACCTCCGGGGGCTCCCCGACCCTCGGCTCCGGCTCCGTGTGCCCGGGATGGCTCCGTGTACCCCGGGATCGCTCCGTGTGCCCGGGATGGCTCCGTGTGCCCCGGGATGGCTCCGTGTGCCCGGGATGGCTCCGTGTGCCCCGGGATGGCTCCGTGTGCCCCGGGATGGCTCCCTGTGCCCCGCTTTTCCAGCTCTTCCCGCTCTCCCCGCTCCCCTCACACGCCCCGCTCACCGCCGCGCGCGCCGCCGCTACCCGCCAGAATTCGGACCGGCCCCGCCCCTTCCCGCGCATGCGCGCACGCGCCATCTTTGGTGCTGGCAGCCGCGGCGCTGCGCGGCGCCATCTTGGCTGCGGGCGGGCGCCCGCTGAGGGGTGGCGGTGGCGGACTGGGAGTCACAGAATCGATGGGATTGGAAAAATCCTGTCGAGTCCAGCCTATAACAGATCAGCTCCTGTCAACTAGATCACGGCACTGACTGTCACGTCCGCACTTTCTTTAAACAATTGCAGGGACGGTCCCTCTACCAATGTCGAGTCACGCTGTGAAGAAACTGCTCCCACTGTCCAACCTAAGCCTCCCCTGGTGCAGCCTGAGGCCATGTCCTGTCATGCTGTTGCCTGGGAGAGGAGCCCGACACCCACCTGGCTACCTTCTCATCAGGGAGGTGTAGAGAGTGAAAAGGTCCCCCCCTGAGCCTCTTTTTCCCCAGGTTGAGCCCCCTCAGCTGCTCCTCTTCAGATCTGTGCTCCTTCCCCAGCCCCACTGCCCTTCTCTGGACACTCTCCAGCCCCTCAATGCCCTTGCTGGGCTGAGGGGCCAGAACTGGACATGGGATTCAAGTTGTGGCCACATCAATGCCCACAACAGAGGGAAGAATCACACCCTTGGTTGTGCTGGACGCATTATTCCTGATAAAGGCTCTGGGTGAGCCCATTTAGCTGCAGAGTTGCCCCTGTCTGGGCAGAGTGGCCTCAGGATTACCTAAACAATGTCAACACTTGCTTTACGCGACCAAATTCAATTGTTATTGTCACATGCAATAGACAAAATTTTGTAGGTTGGTCAGTTTTGCTTTGGTATAACTGTAATTCTGTGAAAAATAGTTCTGAGCACGTACAAGCTCATTGCTGGACTGCAGTTAGTAATGACAGCAAAAAATAATCTTCCCTGTAACATGAACAGGTTTCTGTGTATTGTGGCTTTATTCTTTGCAGTTCCTCGCCCCTCCTGATTTGTACCAATAGACCTGCTCTTCTATCTTTCTATGAAGACCTATTTCACCTAATGCCCATGTTTTCCTGTTAGCACTCCTGTGCTAACACCCCTTCCTCTCTGAAACCTCCTCAGATGATTCATTCTGATTTGACAAATGTGTAAGTTACTCCTTCTTCAGCCTTTCACATTGATTTTCTGTGTTTTCATTAAGGTTAATACTTCTCAGATGAAATCAGCTTCATTATTCTGTTAGTTTTCTTCTGGCCTAGCAGCGTTTCCATCAGGTTTTAATCATTGCAGAATGTGTAACCATCACAGCTCCCATAATAAAACTGGATTCAGGGTAAAAAAAGCCTATAAATCCTACTGTCAAAAGGAACCAATTAAAAGCTCATAAGAGATTGCATCTGCTGGGACTACTTGTAATTGATGGAGAAGGTTGCAACAAGGCTGATGAATACCTCTTCACAACAGTCAGCTCTTGTGCTACCTGAAATTATGGATGAAGCTATAGATGAGCTGTAACAGAAAATAAGAATCCAGAGTCTAAAAGTGATAATTAGAACAACAAAGCAAAGTAAAAAACTTACTCAAATTACAACAACAAAAAAGGCGTTTTCTCCTTTTTGTTGAGATAAAAACACCTGGGAGGACAAGAATAGAACTAATCCACTACAGTTGTTGCTACACAAGCTTTTCAGACATAGGAATTTGAAATCCTGTTCCAGTCTCCCACATACTCACAGGCACAGATAAATTTATAATTGTAATAGATTTATTTCGATACGTGAAAATCTACTATACTCTTTTTAAATTAGGTTACATCCATCTCAGTGCTTTCTACCACAATACTGTACAAGTTCAAATGCTTGTATTATAATAAAGAAAAATTAAGACAACATAATAAAAATTAACAGTTCTATAAAACCAAGTGACTTGAGTACAGCAGGAGCTACATATATCAGACCTAGCTGATCTGTTTTAAACCTTACCCACATCTGGCTAAAGCAAGAAGTTACATAAGCCATCAAAAATTTAACATCAGATTAGTATGGTCACAAGGGCAGCAATGAAATGGCCATCTGGAGAAAGATCAGGGTTCACTTCAAATTCTCGATGAATACAGCACTATTCCATTTTGCTGAAAGCTTCTCAAACAGCTTTTTTCATATATTACTTTCCTGGTATATAGTATATAAGAGATGAAGTATTTACAGGCTCACATGTATTTTGTGTATATATATATATATATATTTGATCAGCAAATATCTCATCTCTCCTCCAGCTTCAGTGATTCAGGCCCGTTCTGCAGAGTAGCCATAGAGCAGAGCACTTCAGGGAATGTTCCTGAAAAGTTTCATAGCAGCAGACACACTGTAAGTTCTGTAGCACATCCATGTTGTAAAATCTATGAAAACTCCTTCCCTAAAGCAGATTACAACAAGATTAGTGACTACAGGACATGGGAAGAGTTTTACCCTTTTCCCATTGAATTAGCAAAGCAAACCCCTGAAAACCTCCTTCATAGGACATAAGAGCTGAGCATTATTTGAGCAAGAGGGAAAAAACTCCCAAGTGTTTGGCAGGTGAAATTCCAGAAGACAAAGAATTGGAGGACATCACTCAATTAATGCAGTCCATAACGTGAATCTGCAATGTGTCCAAATCAGGTAGAATTTCTTCACATTTAGGACATGAATAAATTGAAATATTCCGCTGCTCTGGCCAATCTTGACTATTAGTTCCTGCAAACAGAGAAGATAAATGATGAAGTATTATATTACCCAGTTTTGCTCTCTGCAGCTATCCAGCTGCTAGAATAACCACAGGGAAGCTGGTTTAACCTGAACCTGACCCCAGGGGCTGGAGAAGGTGCCTGCAGTACCTCTTTGGACAAGGTGAGGTGAGTGCTCCCGATCCGGCATCCTGGCTCCGTGGCGACTCTGCATCTCTGCCAGAGAGGATCTGTGGATAATAAACAAGTCAAGGGCTCTGAAAACAGACTCCTGTCAACTGGTCATGCATTTAGTTCACAACTGCTGCTCAGAAACAGGACCTAAAAATGCCCCTGCTTTGTGAGATCATGCCAGAGGTCTGCTGAAATCAGGGTCATGCAACTGACACCAGCAGCGGGATTTGGGCAGCCACACACCTAGGGATCTAGGGCACACTTCTCTGGAAAACTCCAAGGACTCTCAGCTCTTCAGGGAAAACTGAAAATTTGCTTTAAGTAGAAAAGCAAGTTATACCATAAAAAGGACTCAGTGTACAGGTAATGTGAAATGTAACTCGATTCAACTACCACAGAACTCAGAACTGTGTACTCACCACTGCCTCCTGGAGAGGCAGCAGATATCCCTGGCACACACACAGCAGGATTAGCTGCAGATTCACAGCTAAAACTGAGGCCAAAACCCAAAGAAACTCACATGGATCAACAGGGAGAATTTACCAAGCATGCATCATCCAAAATGAAAACTTACTAAGGCATCCAACTGAGAACTAACACACTTTACAGAGATTCTACCAGAAAATGGAGAAGTCAGACAATTAATTTTTTTTCTCCTTTTAAATTCAAATTAGGCAAGAAATGTCTGCAAAGTTATTTGTCTTTCTACTGAGATGCTCACAAAGACAAAGCTGGTCAACACCAGTACACAGAGTAACAGGACAGTGCAAAGGCAGTTCAGCCAAAGTCTGCTCTCACCGGCCAAGATCTTCAAAGTTTTGCTGCTCTTTTAGTAGGTATGCCAGCTGGACAGCCAACTGCTCCTTCTCCTCATGGATCTTCTCTCTTGCTGCCCTCTCAGCATGGAAATCAGAACAATAAACCTCCATCTGATCAGAGAAATGAAATCAGGCTGAAAATTTGTAACTTTGACTACACTATTTGTATATTACATGTCAAAATCTGTATCATAATCTCCATCTACTCAAAACACTGCAAAGCCAAGACCTGCACTTCTCCCAAAGTGAGCAAGGCCTAACGCTTTGTGGACTCTGTAAAAGGTACTCTGAGTGTCTTGCCTGGGACACAGGTATTGCCTCTGCTGTACAGAGGCAAAAAGGAGAAACAGACAAGCAGTGAGGAGGTGACTTGATTGATTGATTGATTGATTATACACACAAATCTGTGGTTCAGTGGAACCAGGCCAAGATGCCAGTTCTGTGCCTTAAATGTGAGACAGACCCTTTTTAGTCACTTAACACATGCTGCTTTGAGTAAAGTAATTCCTAAAATATATGCAGTGATTCTTAAACCAGTGGTTCTAAATACACATCTACTCCCAACTTCTGTTTGTTGTGCCAGACCCCAGCACACACAGTTCCTCCTACAGAGCCCTAGAATACAGTGGGTAAAGGCTCTGCAGGTACCTGCAAGACAAGCCAAGTAAGGGGTGTTATGCTTCGCAGTTGAGAAAACCTATTCAGCATTCCAGAGTGAGCCATTAAATACCTCCTGGTTCCTGAATACTGGGTGGGGGAAGTAGCCAGTTTGTGAAGAAGAGCTGATACCTGAGCACGGAGTACAGACATAGTTTCAAGGTCCTCCTCTTGCTTAGCAATTATCTGCTTCATTTCATCTATTTGGAGCTGCTTTGCAGCAAGGGCTTGTTCTGCCAACTCCACCTTTGCTGTCAGTTGTTCCACCACAGCTTTATCTACTCTGTCCAGCTGTAAAGAAGAACTGTGATTACGAGATGAACTCCAAATATGACCCTCCTCAAAGTGAAAGTTTGCTTCTTACTCCTCCTGTCCTTGGAAAAGGTTCCCATTTTGGTCACCAAAGGAACTTGGACTAAGACAGCAGTGGTGACTGATATTTTACCTTAAAGATTAGTTTTGAGCTTTCAAACTACATTGTATCAAGTTAAAAGACAACCCCCTAGTGGACACTGCAAAAGACATTTTCCTAGCTTCTGAAATGACACAGAACAATATGGAACTTCCACGGTGGTTCAGTTCCTAGGAAGACCTCACTGTAGCAGGCATTCTATTTAAGAATACAAAAATGTTTAGAGATTTACCTTCCTACATTTTTATAACTGATGCTGC